CTCTGTCTCCTGCCATCACCCTGACCATCTTGGCTCCTCTTGGAGCCTCTCTGCCCTTCCTCCTCTTCCTGCATCATAATCTTTATATGAGCTGCAGCATCTACCAAACGTCTATACTCTCGAATAAAGGACCCTCCAACCCTCAACTTGAGTCCACGCCTCAACTTCCGCTCAAACTCTAAGCAACGGCGTTCCTCAGACGCCACAAGTTCTGGTGCGAACCTGGACAAGCTAGTAAAAGTAGCCTCAAACTCGGCCACTGACAAACCCTGCTGTTTAAGCTGGCAAAACTGTTCCCCCAGCTTCTCCCTTGCAGCTGAAGATAAAAACTTGTCCTGGAAAACATTCACAAACGCCTCTCATGCCCCACCAACACTGCCCTTCTCGTACTTCTACCATTGACCCGCATCTCCCTTCAGTTGGAAGGATGCCAAGGTCACCTTTAAAGCCCCGTCCTCGATGCCAAGCATCTCGAACGTCTTCTCCATCTATTCCAACCACTCGTTAGCCTTAAGTAGCTCCTTCGGATCCCCAACAAACTCATCCAGATTGGACCGAAAGAATTTCCTCTTCAAGAAGGAAGGCCCTACCTCAACTGCGTGGGCCTGTTCCTGATTCCCAGCTCTGAGAATACCCAAAGCTCTTGCTATTTCTCGGGCCAAGGCACTCATAGCCTGCTGACCCGCTGGCTCGGCCACATGAGCTTGACCAACTCCCTCCTGCTGTGCCGGAATATCATCCAGTAAAGGCATCTCCTGCCTACCACGCCTGCCACACCTACCACGTCCTCGTCCTGACATCCTAATAAAGGTAACCAAGACTATTAGCACATTCACAAATGTGCCGAAGCTATAACACTCACGTCCCAATGCATGGACAACTGTAATTCACTCCACATAAGCATCTAATCACGTAAGCAATTACGAATTTCATTTCCGGATAATGACAGTCCCGAGGCGTTACTAGAGTTCTGGTTAGAAACAACATTGATCAAGTGCCTTTCCAACAAGACTCCCAGAAACCCAAGGATCCAATCAACATCTTAGAAACTACATTCCATACCCACATAGTCACATAAGCATGTTATCAATTAAACACATAGCATATGACACTACATCTAAGTCTCTATCAAGCGAGACAAACCCATTGTGATACTAATCACTTCCCACGTACCCAAAGTATTCGAACCCGGTACGCTCTGATACCAAGTTGTAACGCCCTAAAAAATATACATAATACCCATCATTCAGACATGCAATAATATAAGAAAATTAACGCCTTTCCATTCATCAGAATAGTTCTTACAACAGTATTACATGTTAACAACAAAAGGCAAATACCCTACGGGCTTACAGCTTTCCAAGTCAACACTTGGTTACACAAAAGAAGAGTACTAACCCTATACAAAATAAGCCCTTGGCTTGATATACATGTAACACAAACAAAATTAATCAAAAAGAGTCTTCAACTCCCATAACTATCCAAGCTATGTCCTTGGAGGTGACATGCTACCTGTACCTGAAAAATAATGTCCCATATAGGGTGAGCCAACGTCCAATAAAGATATGCTAAACACAACATGAGCAGTAACTAAGACATTAGCAATTGATAAATGTTTAACTCCCATAAATCAATTCATAAAACCATTTCTATTGCATGACCACTATGTCTATGTTTCATTTCATTTTCCATTTCTTATCGAATTCCCAAATTCATACCCATGGCTCAGAACCTGGCCACACACTCTAAACGAAATAATAATTCATATTAAATGTTTCCCAGTTCGCAATAGATAAGCATACAAGCTGTATCAACACCTCTACAGATAAGTATATGAGCTATATCAACACTTTCATAGATAAACATATGAGCTATATCAACACACTAACTGACAAGCATATGAGCTGTATCAGTGGAGTCCATCCCCTATCTCCTCCCAAACAACATTCGGTTTAGAGGTCCATCCCTTATCTTCCCCAAAACCGTGGAGTACATCCCCTATCTCCTCCCATACACACAACGTATATACACAAAGGTCATATACACAATCAATCAATACATAACGTTAATGTATTCTATCAACCGTCATACTCTATGACACATCCACTTGATTAGTTTTGGTTTGCCTAATCATCATGCATTGGCTACAACAATCAAAACTACCCTCCACCGGTAGCCCAAAGCAATTATTTCTAGACAGATAATAAAAGTTCTAACAGATAAAATATCAATGTTTTCAAGAGTGAGTGATTAATAAATCCAACTCTACCATTCTACAATATAATGAGCCAATTTCATTATTTCCAACTCAATTCCAAATAACAACAATCTTTCCAAATTAATTATACTAATTAATTTATACAACAGATTAGGGTTTTCTACCCCATTTCCCAATATAGACCCAAGAATCCAAATATCAACAACCAACAACAATATCATTATTTTGAAACCCAAAATACACATTTTAGGATCAAAATAACAAACCCCCCTTTTATACATTTTGAAACCCTAGATCTCCAAAATCAAACCATTTCACAAAGTGCCCAAAAATCTAGGTCAAAACCAATAAGAGTGAGTAGGAATCCCTACCTCAAAAGATGAAACCCAACGAAGGAGATGACAAAAATGAAGATGCTCCAAATCACAAATTTCTCGGATCAAAAGATAGCCCTCGACGATCAACAACCTTTTTGTAAAGGTCAAAAGTGAGGAAACAACTCCTACTAGATCAATACTTAGAGAGAAGTGGAGGTTTTAGAGAGAGAAGCTCTCAAATGGCGTTTTTGAAAAGTAAGAGAGAGAGAGTGAGGATGTAAAAAGTGACTTGAAAATGCCCAACAGCCTTCTAATATACGAAAGGTCCGCTCGAGCAGAAAACACAACGCTTGAGCGTCAAAAACAAAGTACTGAGTTCGTTCGAGCGCAAGAAGTCCCGCTCGAGCTCCAAGACACAAGAATAAAGTACATCCGCTCGAGCGTGAAAATCAGTCCGCTCGAGCGTAGATTTTTCCCTCCCATAACTTACACCAAAAAAGTACTACCCGCTCGAGCGCCAACAAGCCCGCTCAAGCGCGACCCACTCGAGCGCAGGAAATCCGCTCAAGCGTAGAAATCACACCTGCAGAAGTTTTGCAGAGCACAAAAATACTGGGAGTGTGTAATCTCCGCTCGAGCGCTAGATGACCCGCTCGAGCGGAACGACCAAAAACCTGGCAACAAGAAATTAGACCAAGGCTCAACCCACCTGCTCGAAACATGCCCAACACATCCTAAAACTCAATCAAATGGAATTAAAGGACGACAACAAGGTAAACACAACTACCAACTCCACGGAACCGAGTCCGGAATGCAACTGAACAGCAAAGGGAATACCGGAATCGCTATAGGAATAATGGAGAGGCATTTTGTTATGTAAACATAAATTTTAAGAGGTGAGATGTAATTTTTAAAATCACAGAAGATAAAATATATTTTCACCAAATCTCAAGGGGGTTATTGGCAAAACTTTGAAAAAAAAACTACAAAATGTTGTAGCTTTTATGAAAAATTGAGAAAGATTTTAATTACATATATTGTCACAATTTTTATAAAAATTTGTAAAATTTCAAAGCTTCTCAGAAAAAGCTATAAAATTTTGCAATTTCTCAAATATGGAAATTGATTTTTTTGTAAATTTTAGAAAGGGTAAATTACACTGACACCCCATGAGGTTTATGTTTATTACAGTTCTCCCCTCACATTTTGGAAATTACATCTCCCCTCTGAGGTTTAAAGTTTCATTACAGATTCTCCCCTCAGTAATTTAATTTTTTTAAATACTAATTTTACCTTTATTGGGTAAATTACATTGACACCCCTCACATTTTAGAAATTACAATCCCCTCCCCAAGGTTTAAAGTAACATTACCAATTGCCCCCTCGGTTAGTATTAGTTGGAAAAAAAATTCATTGAAAAAAAATTTTATTAGTAAAATTTTTAAATTTTTGTTTAAAAATCAACGTAAGCTTATTTTTTGAATTTACGTTTTTTCCTCAAATTTACAAACTGAGACAACCATTTATAAACCAAAAAAATTATCAAACAAGTTTTTATGGCAATTTTTAAAATTTTTGTAAATGTAAATTGAAAACTGAAAACGAAATGGTTACCAAACAGGCTTCAGATGATAAAAATGTCGCAAAATTAATAAATAATTAAATAAGTTACCAACGTAAGAAATGACTTATTAAATTTTTTTTAGCCTATGTATGGTTTGATTTTTGGAAAAAAATTTAAAAATTAAAAATTAATTTGCTTAAGAAATAAAAAAATAATTATCATTTTTATATAATTTTTATCTTTCGAGTGGTTAGAAATAATTTTTTACAAATTAAATTGAATCAGTCATACGTATGTATATAACCTATACAAAAGTTAAAATGATAATTATTTTTTACCCATAAATGATAATTATTTTTTTATTTTTTATTTCTTAACCAAATTAATTTTTAATTTTTAAAAAAATTTCTAAAAATCAAACCATACATAGCCTAAGAATATTTTGATAAGTCATTTCTTACGTTGGTAACTTATTTAATTATTTGTTAATTTTATGACATTTTTATCATCTGAGCTAGTTTGGTAACCATTTCGTTTTCAATTTTCAATTTTCAATTTATATTTAGAAAAGTTTAAAAAACTGTCATAAAAACTTGTTTGATAAATTTTTTTGGTTTTTAAATGGCTGTCTCAGTTTGTAAATTTGAGAAAAAAACATAAATTCAAAAAATGAATTGACGTTAGTTTTTAAACAAAAACTTAAAAATTTTACTAATAAATTTTTTTTTTCAATTAATTTTTTTTTCAATGAATTTTTTTTCCAACTAATACTAACCGAGGGTGTAATTGGTAATACTACTTTAAACTTCAGGGAGGGGATTGTAATTTCTAAAATGTGAGGGGTGTCAATGTAATTTACCCAATAAGGCACTACAAGAAAAATAGGAAATTACGACGTTTTTTTTCTGACGTTTTTTGAAAAACGTCGTGAAATCTCTTATAATTTTTACTTTTTGAGCAAATTTAATTATCCCATCTTGTTTTGTGTGCCGTTATTACAAAATTGTGAAATAACATTTATTTGTGAGGGAAGAGGCAAGACTTCTCTGATCAAAGCAGAGGCGTGACTTCAGAGAACAGAGCGTGACTTTTGAGAGAGAGAGAGAGAGAGTCAGAGAGAGAAATCAAGGCCTTGGATCTTCCATCTCCATCGATTCTTTGGTTGTATGATCTGGAAACTCTTGTTCTACACTTGATTTGAATGTTTGTCTGTAATATCGTTTGAATCCCTCTTATCTAAGTCGATCTAGGGCTCAAGGTTAGAGTTTTTTTATATGGATTTACTACATTCACACAAGATCCGTAGACTTTCATGGCTTAAACTAACGATTTATAGTTAATTTCTAGTTTCTTTTCTTCTGTTTTGTATTTTCTTTTTTCGAATCGATTTATCTAGGTTTTGAGTGCCATGTTAATGTATCTAATCATGTACAAGATAAGCAAGCAGTGTTGGATCTGGATCGTTAGCAACAATGAGTAGAAGCAAGCACAACGACGTAGAGATGTAGATCTTATTCTCAGATCTGCTCTCTATCCGATCAGATCTGCTCTCTCTGTCTCTCCGACCTGCTATTATGGTAATATCAAATCTGCTTTCTCAATATCTCCGATCGAATTTCATGTATTCTCTTCATTGCTCTATGAGATTTGGACCTCTCTCCCTCTCTATTTTTGATTGAATCTCATTATCTTTCTCACTCTATCACATTTTCCTTATAGAAAATGTCAAAACAGTTTCTAAAATTGGTGCTGGTGACTAGTTCGTTGGTGCTCTCCTATGCATGTTGATGATGACCGATTTGTAGTTGAGGTTAGTATTCCTGATGCTATGATTCTTATCCTACTGACATAAAAAAAAAAAATTGTGGATTTTTTTTTTTTGTTGGAATAGCTTGTTGATATTGTGATTCTTATTGTATCATTTTCCTTGCAAGTCAAATGTTAGATAAAATGTGTCAATGGAAAATTTTTGTTATTTTTATTTTATCTTTTAATTTTTACCCAAACACTAGAAAATAAAAATGATGTTCAACTTTTATTGTAAAATAAACAGTATCTTCTGCTAATCTAAAAGGGGTGTTATCTGTGTAATCATCTGTCTCATAATCTTTGCGTCGCTTCGGCAGCCTCAGGGACAGGATTTTTAGAATCACAAGTATTAGCAGCATTACTATTAGTTAATTTCTTAGCTTCATTGTGCTCTATCGTGGTGGTTTCGTGACGCGATGGTTTGCAAAAAATCCATCTTCGCTTTCCTCTCTTCTACAAAAAATTTCATTTATAGAAAACACATCGAGAATGATGTTGTAGCAGGATTGTTGTTACCTTCTCTTCCTCTTCTTGTTCATTGTCTTCTAATCTCCCTCTGCCACTACTTTTCTGGGTGTCTTTAGTGGGAGACCTGAAAGCCTTTTTCACTGCATTCAATCAAGAGCCTTCTCTAATCTTTCCCATGATTGAATTAAAAAAACAGAGCTTCAATTAACAGTTGAGCTACATTTACAATGAAACCCAAGTTGGGAAAAGACCAGTGGGAATTTTGTTCACTAAATGCAAGAAATACAAGAAAGAGAGAGAGAGAGAGAGTGATAATAAAATCAAGAAAGAGAGAGAGAGAGAGACCCCCCAACCCACAAGGGAGACATTTGCTAGATTTCAAGAAGAATTCACTTTATATACAATTCATTGTTTGCTGATTTATAAAATTTCTCTTCTTCTAGATTATTGATGAAAAGTCTTCGATTAAAAAGTATCAAAGAGAAATATCAAGCCTCAAACTAGAACTGGATCAGTCATGAGGAGATTATTAGCTTAAGACAACAGGTTTCCTTCCAAATCTTTTATATTCTGCATTTGTATGGAATTGGCTTTGTTTGACTAACATTGAACCAAACCTGTTTGACATGTAATGGTGGTTTTTTTCTTAGTTTTTGATTTTCCAATCTTCCAGTGAGACTGGCTATGCAGATTTATGTTCTCATATGATGTTCACCTTTTGTTATTGATATAACAGTTGGAAGAAGGTCAAGTGAAAATGCAGTCAAGATTAGAGGAAGAGGAGGAAGCCAAGGCTGCTCTAATGAGTAGAATACAAAGGCTAACCAAGCTCATACTTATTTCTTCATTTATTTTGTTTTAGACTGCTATGTCAAGTTTGTGCATATTTATATTCATTTTTATTGAGGTTCATGTAAGATTATTTTGATATGTGGGTTGTTTTTATCCTATAAATTTGAATGGTATTGATTACAGTTGATTTTGCCGTTTATACTTGTGACATGACACTGGATTAAGTTTTGGTTATTTATTAATGGACTATTTTATAGTTATTAAATGTGTATGGTTTTGTATTTAGGCATACGTGTGCCTTGGGCTAAGGCCCTGTTGGCCACGGCCGGTCATACCCGGGTTTGGGGTGTGACATTGATGATGACCGATTTGTAGTTGAGGTTAGTATTCCTGATGCTGTGATTCTTATCCTACTGACATAAATTTTTTTTATGTAAAAGAAAAGGATGTTAGAAAAAATAGATATCAGAACTTACATCATTTCCCAAACAAAGCACAAATTCTGGGACCCGGTCCATATCAGGTGTGTACTGGTCAAGTATGACAGGAAGCCTAGACAAGTTACCTTGTGAATCAACATAGATGCAAAAATATTCCTCTAGCATCTCAGATTTATTCTTGAGCAGCTCTGTGTTCATCTGAAGAAGAACAAAAATTTAACTTTAGTCATATAGTACAAATGAAGACCAGCCATTGTGAAAGAACCCATTTTACACCACTTGACAAAATTTTACATAAGGTTTGCCTTTTATGAATAATAAGATTTTTTCCAGTTTCTGCCAGATGGAAGAAAAAAGGATCACCAGTGCCAAATCTCAAGTATCAAAAGAAAGAAAAGAACATATAATCAATACATGTATGTAGAAGTATTGTCGACTGAGTGTTTCCTCAACTATGGGACAAACTTTTTTTTGTGATAAATCAAAAGTGAATCGCACGATTCATAATTCGATTCATGTTTTATGATTCATGCAACTTCTGAAATTATCGGGATCAATAGATTCTGACCCCATTCTGACTCTTTTTGGTGAAAATATCAAGATACAACTTCTAAAGTGTTTAGTATGAAAAGTAACCAATATATATACATGCTTTGTTGTTATTTTGGGATCAAATAGTTTAACAGGATCCAATCAGATTGCCCTACAAGTGAAACTTGATCAATACGAATCATGTGACAAATGTATAGTATACATAAAGTTGATCAGCATTTGCCAACAAAACCAAAATAATACTAACACTGGAGAGAGAGAGAGAGCACTTAAACATTATAGAAATACTAAACAATCATACACGAATTAAACAAAAAAGGATCCATGAACTCAACAGCAGAGGCAAAACAGGATGACAGGAGCAAAATTAAGTGCAAACTGAAGCAATTAATCTGCTTGGGTTAAGATCAGTTACTTCTGCAATCTTTTCTTTCAGTTCATCCTTTTCATTGCATTCTGGGTCTACATCCTCCTCTTTCAGTGCCAGCATAATCAACTCAGGCAGTGGGGCTGGGTCACTTAGTTGTATTGCATTAAAATGAGCAAACCGACGTAGGACTTGCTGATACATGAGCTCTTTGCTGATACATGGAGGCATAAAAGCAAATGATAAAAAAGAATCAATAACTGAAGACATAGAAGTGGAGCATTGAGTAATCAGTGCCCCCAAGACCAATTTGAACTAGACAAGAAGCAAGACAAGCTCAAATAGTTTACTCTTCAGAACCTGCAAGTGGGTCAGTCCTACAAAAAATTATATGACAACAAAATTCATCATGGTATCATTGTTTTCCAGAAAGATCGATAAGTAGAAATTTAAGTCCATCATTTTAAGAAGCATCGAAGAGCATTATTACCTCAAAGTCACCATATTGGCAAGAAATAAGTGAGTATTATGCTGAAGCAGAGCAAACACATCGTCTGCCATCCCAATATAGGTGCAGTGTCTTACAATGTCCAGCAGAGCTACAGAGATACATTATTGGAAAGAATTATCCAAATTTATTCAACTTTAAGAAAACTTTCCAGTGTCAACGATGGTGAATTTGGTAAAAACATACCAGAATGGCATTTGTTATCAATGTCATCAATAAGCTCCTGAATACTAGTTAGATCGGCAGCTTCCTTTGGGTTCCTCCTTTGTCGGATAGAAGACCTGCAGTTGGAGTTCTTTCATAAATCATAAATCATAAAATAACTAAATATGCATCTACAACTTATTCATGGATCATGACCAGTGTAGATACCTCCTAACCTACCAAACGTCACAGGCAAGTAATCAATGGCATGTACCTTACACATCATTAATTATACACACTTACACGTGTCAGCCTTCAAGGGACGTGTATTGTTCATGTATGTGGTCATAACAAACAAGCTTAAAGGACCAACAGCACTTCTTGTAGTTAAAAATAAACATTAAAAAGTGAAAAATAATAAGAGAGAAAGAGAGAAAAGAGGCACAACGTTATGCTGACATCAGCATAATTCAGCATTTGTATGAATGCCGTGATCGGGCAAACACACAATCTAATTTGTCTTGCCCTCCTGGTAATTATGGTGATTTTTGTAGATTTTTTTTTTGAAGTTGTTTGATTTAAGTTTTCATTTTTTGTATTATTTTTGGAATATAAGGGGTCATTTTTTAAATATGTGATTTGTAGCATTGCCCAGCAAAATATTTGTTGGAATCAAGTCTATGGGTACCAACCAGGCTATAGGAGGACATCTTTGAGGTTCATTTTTATTTGTTGCATTTGCAATGACTATTGGGTCTAAAGATAGTTTGGCTGAACTGTAGCAGTCCACTTCTGGTTTGAACAATCAGCTGTTTGGTGTAGACTTGAGTTTGTTCTGTTTCACTGGTTTGCATCCTTATTGGTTTCTTGTGGTTGAGGCAAAACCTCCATTACTTAAGGATGATGATTTGCCCAAATCGATTACTATGAAGAAACTGAATGGTGATGATTCTGAGAATAATTTATAATTAATTCTTGTGTGCATGTTAGAGAACGTGACACTCATCCTTGCCTGCATATTTTGCATATTTATTACGTGGCAAGATTTAGAAGTACTTCAGTTTCAGTTACCAAAGTAAATGGATGCACTTGGACTATTTATCCCAAAAAAAGAAAAAAAAAAGGGATGCACTTGGACTAAATACAAGTCCTACCTCACAGATGTCAAACTGGAATTATTTTCATGATGGCTAGGAGGTTTAACTTGCAAGTAGGCATGCAACCTCCCTGCAGGATCCAGTGAATCTGTTCGTACCATTTTGTGGACTGGAACTTTTTGCAATTTTGTCCCTGTAGTAAGGCAACAAAATTGGACAATTCAATGGAGCAAATCCAAAATGACAATACATTTAATAGATCTGCCAATAGATGAGACCAGCCAAATGCGAAAGAAAATGTTCTTCATACCAGAAGCTGAGGGATTAATTGGGGAATCTTTGCTCCTAAGCATAGAACTAGACGGAGAGGGATCTACCACCTGTCTCAATTGACATAAAGTGAAAAATTCAGGGATAAAATCGATGCAATTACAACTACAAGGACCAAATTAACACAAGAGACAAACAAAAACAACAGGGACTAAGATTGTAATTTGCCCAAACTTCCAATTAAATCATAAATACAAATGACATGACCACTAATAATATTTGTTTACCATCACTAAACTATAAGCTACCAAGTTTGCAGAAAAATATACCTGTTCTTGAAATGTCCTTGCCTCATTGGAGTTTCTCAATTTTGACTCCACTGCAGATTGTATCTTCTCAATAACAACTTCCTGATTCAAAAGGCTTACCTGCATTTATATAATGCGCTAATGAGGTTGAAAAGTTTAAACCAACATTTTAGGACAGATAAAACTGAACAAGAAAAAAGAGCAGCTCAGAGTGTTTCCAACAACGAAGTTGTAAGTGTGAAAAATGGTCATCTTAGCTACAGGAAAAAAATCACCTCATAGTCAATCCCGTACTCTTGAGAAAACCACATTGGATTGCACTTTATAACACTCCACATAACCATGAGTGGATTTGAATTTCATATACCCACTTACTAGCAAGGGAATTTTTATTGGCAGACAAGGAAACCAACTCCCATGTTCTTGTCTTCTCAATAGAAGCTAACTCATTTATAAAGCTTACTTCCCCAGAAACAGGAATCCATTATACTTTTTTCCTCTTTTTTGTCTTTTATTGTGGTTTGCTTCTGTTTCAATTGGGGGTTTCTTCTCTTCAGTCCGAGTAAGGGTTCCATCTTGATGCTCCATTGTTTATCTTTATTTTGCCTCTTCTTGGTATTGTTGGGCTTTGTTCTACAGAGACTCATATTCCTTATCTTGTGAGCCATGGCGATGGTGAACAATGACGACAGTTAGTAGAGGAGAGGAGACGATCCGCAAAGGAAATGTCAAAGAAGAGGTTAGTTCAATAGGGATGGTCTATTATTTTGGTGGGTTGATATCAGGTCAGATCATTTGGTGGGTTGGACACTGGGGGGCTGGTTGAACAGAGGGCCCAATTCACCAAAAGAGGGGAGGGACCTATGTTTCAAGCTCACAACAATTATAATAAAATGTTGGTGGCCTGGGCCAATAGATTCATGGGATGGATTTGGGTGGATTAGAGGTGAAGAGATCTCAAGAGGCCTACACGTCTTGGCGAAGGTTTATATTTAAGTGTGGGCCTCCGATTGATGAAGTTGTTAAGCTAAGGTCAACAGGACAGTTAATTGAAGGAAATGCGCAAGACAACATTTACATTGAGGAGGGTGCCCTCCATGGATGTAGGGGAAGCTTACAAAGACTATCCAATCTATCGAAGAATTGACAAATGATGGTGAGAGAAAGTTGAATCCAACAAAAAGGGAGCAATTATGAAAGAAATGAAGTGCTTCATGGGGGCAAAATTCTGACGGTATCTAGTTGTTCAAGGTGTTCTGGCGAAGAAGAGATCATTTGAAGGTAAAGCGCACCTCTCTAGGGTGATGGAAAATTTTGGTCTACTGCATTGCTTAGGGTTAGAAGAGGGGGATTTATAATTGGTAGAGAGCATAATGATGGAAGTACTTATCAAAACCAAGTGATGGAGGTTGTGGTGGTGGAAGAGTAGCAAAGTCGGTGTTGATGGTGGACAAGGGAGCTAGAAAGTATTGCTACTAGTAACTCTTTGGGTGAAGGAAACTATGAAACCTAGTAGTGCCTTCATGGTGTTCATGGAGGAGTTTAAGAAAAAGTACAAACAAAACACCCGAGCAAAAATTCAAAGAAATGGAATTCGATGACTAATGATGACAAAGCTCCATGGTAATTGGTAACGAAAAGGAATGGCAAGGATGGGGAAATGAAAGATGATGTCAAAAGTCAGGGAAGGACCCTTCAAGATTTTGGCATTTTATTGACGCATTATGGAATAGAGAGCAAATGGTTTTTTTTGACCAACCTTTCTACAAGAGAAGCTCACATTTATGTGATGAATGGCAAACCGGCTTAATAAGTCTACTATTTTTGGGTAATCATCAGCAGAGTTCTGAAGTGTTTTTCTCCGAGCAGTCATGTTATAAAACAAATTCTCAATCTGAAGAAATACATGAACAAAAAGAAGAAAAAATAGAAAATAAAAATATCAAAAGATTGGATTACTTAGATATGCACAACAACATTTTTATGAAACGCCCAAGTTATAACTCATCAATTATAAACTGCTTTTTTGTGTCCTGAAACCCATTGTGCCTCATACAATTTAAATTACAGAACAAATCTTTAATTTGTCTTACAATGAAAATAACTCCCATATTCAATCTAGTGAAATTTTATTCCAAATAATTCTAGAATTTATGGCATTTGATTTTGTTCCCTCAATATGCTTTTGTTTCCACGTGCTCAGGGAAATTTAAAGCCAAGCCCTTTTGAAAGGTTTAATTTTTCTCATACTGTCAGGGAAATTTAAAGCCAAGCCCTTTTGAAAGGTTTAATTTTTCTCATACTGTCAGGGAAATTTAAAGCCAAGCCCTTTTGAAAGGTTTAATTTTTCTCATACTGTCAGGGAAATTTAAAGCCAAGCCCTTTTGAAAGGTTTAATTTTTCTCATACTGTCAGGGAAATTTAAAGCCAAGCCCTTTTGAAAGGTTTAATTTTTCTCATACTGTCAGGGAAATTTAAAGCCAAGCCCTTTTGAAAGGTTTAATTTTTCTCATACTGTCAGGGAAATTTAAAGCCAAGCCCTTTTGAAAGGTTTAATTTTTCTCATACTGTCAGGGAAATTTAAAGCCAAGCCCTTTTGAAAGGTTTAATTTTTCTCATACTGTCAGGGAAATTTAAAGCCAAGCCCTTTTGAAAGGTTTAATTTTTCTCATACTGTCAGGGAAATTTAAAGCCAAGCCCTTTTGAAAGGTTTAATTTTTCTCATACTGTCAGGGAAATTTAAAGCCAAGCCCTTTTGAAAGGTTTAATTTTTCTCATACTGTCAGGGAAATTTAAAGCCAAGCCCTTTTGAAAGGTTTAATTTTTCTCATACTGTCAGGGAAATTTAAAGCCAAGCCCTTTTGAAAGGTTTAATTTTTCTCATACTGTCAGGGAAATTTAAAGCCAAGCCCTTTTGAAAGGTTTAATTTTTCTCATACTGTCAGGGAAATTTAAAGCCAAGCCCTTTTGAAAGGTTTAATTTTTCTCATACTGTCAGGGAAATTTAAAGCCAAGCCCTTTTGAAAGGTTTAATTTTTCTCATACTGTCAGGGAAATTTAAAGCCAAGCCCTTTTGAAAGGTTTAATTTTTCTCATACTGTCAGGGAAATTTAAAGCCAAGCCCTTTTGAAAGGTTTAATTTTTCTCATACTGTCAGGGAAATTTAAAGCCAAGCCCTTTTAAATAACTCCCATACTGTCATGGGTTACTATTCATTGCCCCAGAACAGCCTTAATTTTTCCACATAAATTCTTTTCTCCTAAGCCCAAAAATAAATCCTAGCAGCCTGACAAACTTGCATTACATCTACTAGAGTTGCATCAATTTTGGTATTAGAGCTTAAGGTTTTCCCACTATATTCTTACAAAGTGGGAGATCCTATTTGCCACAATAGATCAAACAATGTAAGATAGAAGTTCAAATTTTGAAAGAAGGGATGATCCTTTAGTGTTCTCCAATTAGCTTGTTTCAATTGAGTAGTTCTTTTTTTTATCATGATAGGATAAATGATTGAAGGTGAGATTTGTTAAGACGAAACTTGTAGGTTTGGCACAAATGTAGTGGTATGTGTTGAAGAAAATACAAGAGGATTGGAAGTGCAACCAATAAGCACGTGGAAAGAGATGAAATTTAAGCTTCAAAAGAAGTATATTCCTATCAAGTAAATTCATGCAAACAATTTGTTTCTTCAAGACATGCCAATATGTTGTTTGGAGAATATATGAAAAGACTTAGGGCACTTGACACTTGAAGTCCAGCACCAAAAATTCGTTGAATTTAAAGATGGTTTTAAGCCTACTACAAGTTCATAATTCATGTAGCATCCAAAGAATTGTGTTAAGCATGCACTACAAGTAGCACAAATAATGAAAATTGTTGTTAAAGATCATAACCTCACACGATTGGAGTTATAAGCGAAGGAAAACAAACAAGATATGCCCAAGGTGAACGATGACAAGATTATGAAGGTTGAGAAAGCCTCCAATTGAAGTTACATGTATTGTCCCTGAAGTAGCAAAAGTTGAAAGCAAAGAATTGGATGATATTTATCGTTAAAGTAACTACAAGTTTGGAAAATTCCTGTCAGCCCTGCTTAAAATTTGCACCTTGAGGTGGCTAACTTGTTGCCTATGTCCTCTGATGAACCATTAAAGGCAATCAGCATTGTTGAACATCAAAGTTTGAAGCCCTTTGATTAACCATTTAGCCCTGAAACAATCTGTAAAATCTTGTGTTTTCATTCTTCAAACCCTACCCTTTTGTTACCCCAAATAAATCTTTGAAAAACCTCTTATGTTTTGCTAACCATTTAGCCATAAAACACAATTAAAATCAGCCCCAAAAGCCCAAGTTTTCTTGCTAGCATATATTAATTTTAGGCTTATTGCCAGTAGGAGAGTGCAACCCCCTACTTGTCCTACATCACCATGATACTCAAATCATAAAGGTGTACCTAAGAAGAAGCACAAGCCAAGGTCAAAGGTCCAAATCCTACCATTATCTGTGTCCCCTTTACAGCAGCGCAAGCTTTGGGCTCATGCTCCATTACACCATCTCTGTATGACACCCTGAACAAGAAGCCCAAAAATAATAATAATAATAATCAATAATCAAAAATAGGGATAAAACCTCAAATTAAAAAGATTTTTCATTTCCTAAGCCTGTTTGGATTGGGTGATTTGGGAAGAAAAGGGTTGGTTCATATCACTTTTTTTTTTTTTTAAGATTGAATTTTCAAATCACTTGTTTGAATAAGCAAAGTGAGGAGAAGTGGGGTGAAATGGAGAGAAACCTATTTCTCTCATCACCCTCATTCTGAATCTCTCCAAACCAAAATAGAGAGTTTGGGAGAGAAAAAAACCAACTAATCACTATTTTTTTTATAACACTAAAATTTCCCTTTAGATATAGAAGAAATAAAAAAACTCACACGTATAAAAAATTGTTTTAATAATATAATATGAAAAAATTTCTTCTTCTTTTTTTTAATTTTATTTTATATAGTTTAACCAATAAAATATGAGAGAAATTATTATTTTATATTTATATTTTTTCTATACATTGTCTAAATAAGAGGAAGAGAAACACAATTCTTTTAATTCTTTTATTTTCTCTCCTAACTTTTATTTTATATAATTTTTTTTTTCTCTCTCCTAGGTTCCCAAACAGAGTGAGGGGAAAGGCAAGAATAGAAGACATTTGGTGGGTGATAGATATGGTGATGGTGAGACATACATACCTGTAACCATGCAATAGGCCTTTGGTAATGGTGGTGACGGTAACGTGACCAACATAGGTCATGCTAGCCAGGGCCTCACCTCTGAAACCCATCGACTTAATCGATTGCAAATCTTCAAACTTACACAACTTGGATGTCGTGTGCCTCTCGCATAGTATTGGCAAGTCCTCATACTACAAAATATATACATATCACAGACAACAACAACAACAACAACAACAATGGCAATATCAAAAAATTCAACAGAAATAAATACACAATAGAGTAGAGAAATTGAATTTGAATAGAGACGTAAATAAGGGAGGGAGGTAGGTATACTCGGATGCCGTGGCCGTCGTCGGAGACTTGAATGAGTTTAAGACCGCCGTCCTTGACGACGACGTTGATGGAGGTGGAGTCGGCGTCGAGGCTGTTCTCGATGAGTTCTTTGACGGCGGAGACAGGCCGCTGGATCACTTCACCGGCGGCGATTCGGTTCACCACCGACTCATCGAGGCGGTGTATCATGGGAGGCTCTTTTACTACTACTGGTAATGGAGATGGTTCTTCTAGTTGGACTTCTTGTATTTCTTCGATTTCCATGGTTTGATTGAGAATCGAATGATGAATGAGATGAGAGAGAGAGCGCGAGCTTCTCCACTTGGCTTGCTATCAAGTGAAGTGGAATTTCTGTTAGACACTCCCTTACTTTACTTTTGGCTTTTTTTGTTTTTTTTTTCAAAGCCAAATAAGATAAAACAAACTCATTTTGTTTTTTTTACACGTTTAAAAATTAAAATAAAGTCAAAAATGGAAAAGTTAAAAAAATATATTTTGTTTTAATTAAAAGACTTACCAAAAATTCCAAAGAATAAATTATACTAACTTATATTGAGTTATTTTAAAATTTTTAAATTACATAATATTTAATCTCATTTTTATTAACAATTTATTACTTATATTCGTAATAAAATTACTATTATTTTCTCTTTTACATTGAATGTATTTTTTACTATTATTTCGATGGCCTTAATATTACTAAAAATGAATTCAATTTAATTATACTAAACTTATAATGCTTATTGTATTATTTATTAGAAAACTTTAAAGGTCCCCAGTTATATAAAATTTACAAAACTATTGAACAGCATGACTTATAAAATTTTATCTCAATTTGAAAACTAGCTATTTTAGGGTTGTTTGGCAGCTTAGTTAAAAGTCAACTTTTAACTTTTAACTTATTTTGGATCATATCACTTCTCACATTTTTTACTTATAAAGTGACAAAATAGCCACACAAAAAAAAAAAACTAAAAAGTTAACTTTTAATCAATTTTCCAAAACACCCCTTAATTACAATTGACTTTTTTTTATAAAAACTTTTGGTTAGATTGTCAAATTTTCCTAAACTCTTTGAAAAGAGTAATATTAGAGATATCAAAAATTTATTAAAAATTTTATTAAATGTCTTATATGGGTGTGGGACTATATAATGTGAGTCCTATGTGAATCTTACACTTATATAAGACATTTGGTAAAATTTTTAATAAATTTTTTGAGATTTCTACCATTTTTCTTTGAAAATAAGCACACAAAAAGAAAGGGAAGACATGGTATAGGTGAAGTGGAAAGAACAAAACCTGTGTGTTAGTGTTGCAAAAATAAATAAATAAATAAATAAGTGTATGACTAAAACCTGTGTGTTAGTGTTGGTGCTGGAAGTTGGATTCCTCTGTCAGTAGGGGTGCAAACAAGACATAAGGGATGACATGGTAGAGGTGAAGTGGAAAGAACATCAAGTATTGGTCAAGATGGCACGAACAAATGCTGGGATAAGAGATAAAAGAAGAAGTAGATCAAAGAGGAATTTGAAATTCAAATACAACTCCTGGAATGAAGGGATAAGCATGCAGAGAATCCGAGAATCTAGGAAGATCAAGATCAAGAGCCTGATCAAGAAACAAATATAAAAGAAGGCTAAAGGCAGAAGAAAAAAGATATCAACAACCACCAATCACACTCGCAAACGAGTTTATCTAGAAATAATTTAACTCAACAATTTAGGAATAATTTAAACCAATAGCTTTTTTTTCAATCCCCACTTCTTTTCCTTCTAGCTCTTGTTGTATTTCTTCAATTTTTTATCTTGTTTAAGTTTTTGAAACTAGTGACAATTTATTCGAATTAATACATATTCTTTTCTGTTCTATCTCTTTTTTGCCTAATTACCTTTAGGAAAGTCCTTAATCTGTTTAAGGCATAGAACTCAACCACAAAACTTAATTTTTATTTGTGTTTACTTAAAGATTGATTTAAGTCTATAGATCAAATCATTGTCGATTAGGTTTGAACTAGATTTTTACCAACAGTTAATCGTCCATGCTGCTGTTTTGCTGTAACGTTGTTTTTCCTTGCTCCAACATTATTGTCAGTTCTCCCAAACCCTAACCGAAGGGAGTTGGCACACTGCAACATTACTCAATAGAAGAAGCCAATGAAAATCCATATACTTGTCACCAAAGTAAATCAAGAAGTTAAATAAGAACAAAAATAAAGCTCTCCATACTTGTAAAGTCACCAAAACTCAAATCTGCATATCATACCTTACATTTAGCCCAACGCTTCAATAAAAGCTGTAATTCCTTTTTTCTTTTTTTCATCTACGAAACCCCAATTGATGTTAAGTTACATAGTGAAAATAAGGGTTTCATATGAAATTTCCACTACATTGGGTTAAATGATTAACAATCCAGAACAATCTTGGCAATACATGGACAAAAGCTGAAACAGAAAAACGGTAACACCCAATCTAATTGTATGAAGAATTCTGATTTGGGACCAAAAACTTGAAGGTACTTCAAATTCTAATCTCAGTCCTGTCCATCCTGAAAACAACAACAAAAAAAAAAAGCCATCATTCTTCCTTCAATGTATTTGTGCTTCATAAAAACCATACAACTGTGAACAATATTTTTTCAAAAATAAATGATAAAAACAAAAGTATCCACACATCATAACCGCCATGTAGGCATCACAACTGTATTGAACTATTGTATCTTAGCATTTTTTGACATCGGTAAACACCAATGGAAAATGACAAGATAAATAACTTAATGGCGCAACCCTTGACTGGCTAGAAGCCCATTACTATCAGATTTAGAACGGCAAAGCCTGTGGGTTCAAAGAATTTTCGGTCCAATACATGTAATTAATAGTTTTTATTATTACTATTATTTAGTTAGTAGTTGCTAATTATTAATTTAGTTTTTTTTATTATGTTTCCAAATATCATTAAGATCCGTTTCCTGATTCGTTTAGGGTTTTGGCCTATAAATGTTGGGCTTTTAGCATTATAATATTCAGCTTTCGGATTAATAATATTGAGTGCGTTTCAATTGAATGTAGAAAGAAAGGCTGCTCCTCAATTTGGCATGGCTATAGGAGTATAACTGGATGAAGTGTTAATCTTAATTAAACGTTAAATAGATCATATAAAGTAAGTGAAGAACATGAGAACTACCTGAGAAGCAGGATCTGAAATCTTAGAGATGGTCAACTTCTCATCAAACTTGTAAGAACACTCTGTGTATGCAGATCCAATACCCAGTCCAGCACCCAAAGCCACTGATGCCCAGCGTGTCACAGGACTCCCTAACACGACAAACCAGAGTAAATCCATTAAGGCATCAATTTCATGCACACAATTTTTTTCCCCACAAATGCAGCTGGCAAGAGAAGACCAAACAAATTAACCTAGAAATACAATACTATTATAACATATTTTTGTTTTTCTCTTTCCTTTCTATTCGTTAAGAACTTAAGATAAACTTTATTTCCCAACATGGGTCCAGCCAAATATGAGGTTGGTTGACATGATCATCTACATGGTAAATTTTGATATCATTAATGACACAACACCAAATGAAGACCTTGATTGATTTTCTAGTTTAGTCCAGATGTTGGTCAAAGAAAGGCAAAACTTTAGCATCTATGGAAGTGTGAAAAATAATATAACTTGAACAAGAAGCCTGATTGAGGGTCTCTCAATGCAAAACAGGGTCCACTGACACTGCAGAACACCAAATACAACAAAACTAAAAACACCTTATATTTCTTTAGACCCTCCTTTTACAATGCAAGATTTTACAATCAGAAAATAATAAACACAATTGAAAAGACCAAGGAACAGCGCACATGAAGAAACCAATGAGCCTAGGAATTTCATAATATTGATAGAAATTACATATTAATTCAAATCAGGCATGGTCTTTTTTTATTTTTTATTTTTTGGTGTGTGTGTGTGTTGGTGGTTAATTACCATATTCTGGGGTAGCATTTCCTTCCATTGCACCCATTTGTAAAATTAGCCCAAAATGTAATGCTAAAAAAAAAATGAAGTTTGAATCACCCATTAAAGAGTAATAAAAATAATAATGATACTAATAGACCAGTTTGAAAAACCAATTAGCTGTAAAAATGAGAAACAGGAAAAGTAATTGCAAATCAATGGAGTGCAGGTGAGACATGTGTCCTTAGCAAATGAGAAATGTGCCGAAATGGCACAATTCTCACTTGCACCCACTCAATCTATAATTTAAAACTGTACTCAATCTATATTAAGTACTATTTTATCAATCATCAACCATCCTTAATATTAGAAATTGTGGGTGTGCTACTAGCACAAGAAGAAAAAGACAAGTTTTCCTATAACCACTACAAGTAAAAAATGAAAACATTAGCAATCAACAACCAAACTCTTGTTTAAAATGGTAATTCAATATCCAACAATCAAACACTAATTCAAAAATTAAGAGAGAGAATGCTCTACTTATTTGTATTGTTTAAGGAGTAAGCAATGATTAACAAAAGCATCATGTTTACATAGTGGTGGTGATTATGACTTTATGAGACTCTTCTTAGAGCTCATAGCAAGATAACTGTGTGTTGGCCATGTCCGGCACAGTATGAGATTAACAACATTGCCTGTAACACGGAATTCAAAATTTCAAAATTTGGCTCAAGCCAAACACACAACTTCTACTATGCTCCCTCCACACCCTAGTATAGAAAATGGCCATATAGCAACTCCAATGGTAAAAGCTAAAATGGCTTTGCTCAAGCTATTTTTTTGCTTGCTACAGTGCAAAAAAAGCTATTTTTTGGCTATACTATACCACTCCAATGGTTCATATGCTATTTTGAAGCAATCAATTCCCATATCAATTTTCGGCAATTAGGTCCACTCATAAAATCTCTTGTGCCCATGATTTAGTTTTGTTGACGTAGAAAAAAGGGCTTTGCCATTTTTTGGCAAGAAATTTGGTTCACCATCGGAGAACAATTTTTGAGATATCTAGGGAAAAAAATGGCTTTGGCAGGTCTTATAGCTTTGCCATTGGAGTTGCTCAACGTTTACATTTACGAAGAAACACTCAAATTAGAAAAATTCCAATTATCTGGATTCTTATAAGTAGGTATTGCACTTCTGCAGAGACTCGTTTTCTCAAAATATCATACACAAATGTAAATCATGCGTAGATACACATTCCAATATGAATCATATCCCTGAAAATTGAAGAACAAAGAAACCCTATAAATAATTGAGAGGGTAATTTTTGGGAAAAATTGGGCCGAGCTTTGAGTTGGGCTTTGAGGCCCAAAACGCAAAGGACTAGGTAAAAAGGCCGTACTGGATACTCCGGCCTAGAGGGCAAGGTTACTCCGGCCTTGGGGAGACAAAGTTACTTCGGCCCAAGGAGGTGAGTTTATTCCGGCTCAAGAAGAGATAGTTGCTTCGGCCCAAGGAAGAGTAAAGCTACTCCGGTCCAGAGGCAACTCGGAGTTAGGCCGGTCTCAGAGTTAGTCCGGTCGCAGTATGTTCTGGGAAGACCGGTTTCGGAATTAGTCCGGTCGTGACGTACTCTGGTTAGGTCAGTCAGAACTTGTTACTTGGAAGTTTGATCTAAGCACACCAAGGTTGAACAGGGGCAGCCGAAGTAATGAGTTAGAGGAGAAGACTGAGCTAAGGATAGTTCGGCCTTCTCTGTGGCTCAGCATAGCCAATTTTACTTCGGTTACATGGAAGTTCGGCCATGGAGAAAACCATCCCACTTGGTTTAAGCAGTGGGGGAGGGTGTAAAAGGATAAGCATTATCCTTAGGAGTATGAATCCTAGGAGGACTCTGCATGGAGAAGTACAAGACCTACTAGGATTGTGCCACGGGAAACTTATAAAAGCCCACCAACATCACCTTGGAGGAGGTAATTGAACACAACCTTCCTGAGAACTTAAAGCTCTGTCTATTTGTCAAGCTTACTGACTTAGGCATCGGAGAGGTTTCCGGCACACACCCGCCGGCTAGCTCACGTTTGTGTTTTCAGGTACTAAAGCGACGTCGTACGGAGGAGCGTGGACTTGGTCAACAGGATTATACGAGGAGAATTATTTCCTCCCCGTACAATAATCATTGAATGATACCCGTTTGGAATCAATGGCTATCCATATTTCTCGAAACTTAAACTACACAAACAGGAAGGTGTATTCAAAACTTTCTATTACCCATTTCTTTTTCTGCAGTTTTCTCGGGAAACAGACAGAAAAAAAGGGGGGGGGAACTTACTGAAGAGAAGGAAACCACCGACGGCACCGGCCAGGGTGGAGTAAACGAATCGGCGGATACCCAAATCGAGACAGGCGTCCCACTTTGCATTCGGATCGAACTGCGGAGAAGGGATTTGCTTGTTTTCACCCATTTTTTTCTTCAGATTTTTTAGCTCTCTTTAATTTTTTTTCTTATCTTTCTTGGAATATCTCGTTTGGTTTTCTTGTTTGTGGGCTTTGCATCGTAAAAGTGAACCTTTGGTGAGTAAGTCGTTCAAATTAGGGTGTTCAATAAAATGTGGTGGTTCAGTGGAGGACGCAGTTCTCTCCACAGAGGTGATCAGGTTCGAATCCTGAGTGCGAAAAATAACTGAATTTCAGCTTCTTTTATTTGATTTGATTTTATTTTTGTTGAGATCTCGCATTTTGATCGATTATGGCCTCTTCTGGGAGGCATGACTCAGCTCTATTAATGTGTTGGTGGTTGATCATTTCTTATAGATTAGATTAAAGCAATTAGTTATTCCGAGTCAGGAGTGGCAGATATAATGACGACATAAAATATCTTTTTGTTATTTAAAATAATAATAATAATAACAAAATTGATACAGACCCCCACTTGGGGTGACCCCCACCACCCCACAGACACGTGAGGGTCAACGAGAGGAAGACAAAAAAATAAATAAATAAATTTGAACCAATCAGCATTCACTGAGGGTGGTGGTGTCTCACTCATTTTTGTAATAATAAAATAACATAAAATGGGATCAAATCGAAATCAATTCAAATCATATAATTCTGGCTATGTTTGGCAAATTGGCACGTGAGTTAGAGGTTATTTTAGTCATAAAAGATAAAATAAGTTAATAAGACAAATTGTCATATTTAAATTATAATCATTTCATTTTTTTTTCCTCACAAAAGTTAAAAAAATTAAAAAGTCTATTTCAAACGAAACTTTTTAACCTAAGCTAAAATAATCAAAAAAAACTAACGAAGGCTATGTTTAATTGTTTTAAAAGACGGTTTGATAGTTTTTAAAATTTTTAATTAGTATTTTTTATTTTTATTAATTTTTTTTAATATTTTCATTTGTCTTTTTTAATATTTTAATATACTTAAAAAGTGTTTAAAAAAATTATTGAATACAAAAAATTTATATAAATTCTTCCGATGGTAAATTATCAATATTGTTTTTATTTTTTTATGAAAGATACCCACACTAATTTTCAATTCCATATAAATAAATAAAAAATACATGGTGAATTTTGCCTTGCATGTCAAAACGGAACACTTACAAACTAGTTTGTTGTTCAAATTGTGAAGTTCAATAAATAGATTTATAAAGAAATCAAATTATATACCAAGAACACATGCAGATAATTATAACTAAATTTCAACAGAAATACATAAAACAATAAAAGGGTAAAGAAATGAAACCGAAGCCTGTACGGTAGCAGTTTCCTTAAAACAGATTTCGCCGCCTCACGGGTCGAGTGCTTGAGGAAACTCGGCGTCTGTCTCCCAGGAGAGGACGGTCAAAACCAGCTACGGCAGAAGCACTTTCTGTCTAGCTTAGCAAACAAAAACAGTGGCAGCATTCTCTCATAATAGGAACTTTCTGGCAAACTGACTTGTAAAATGGAAGAAAAAATTTCTATATTAAAACTTGATAGGAATGTCTCAATTTATACATGTAGTAAAATGGAAGCAAAAAATTTCTATATTAAAACTAGACAGGAGGGTCTCAATTTATACATGTAAAGGAGAAAGAAGAAGAGCTTCCAGCCTTTAAGGCTGGTCATAAAACCACCAAGCATCTATAGCCCCTTTCCAAAATATGAAAAGTTTGGATGCCCAAAGGATTCACACCCTTTAGCCAAGAAAAATGATTTAAATACTCTTTAAAATCCTATTCATGAATCTAACATCATGAAGCAATTTCTTGGCAATTTCTTATTCAAAACCCAATGGTTTTTGGCCCACTTGGACCCAACACAATAAATGGTTGGGACCTACTTTAATATTAAATTAAAGTCACCACAGGAATTTTGGTATTTCTTTCTTACTTGATGGAGGTCTGGCTTCGATGATAGCTTTGGTTTTGTTCTGATCAATCTATATTCCTTTCTTGTGTACTACATAGCCTAAGAAGTTTCCAGCTGATACACCAAAAGCACATTTGAGACGATTAAGTTTCAACTTACACTTTCTCATTCTTTCAAAAGCTGCTTCCAAGTGAAACAAATGTTCCTCCATGGATTGGGATTTTACTACAATGCCGTCAATGTAGCACTCTAAGTATCCTCCAATGAGATCATAAAAGATAGTGTTCATAACTGTCACGACCCAAACCCAGCCCTATGGGTTTAGCACCGTAATCGGCTAGTAATCCGAGATTACCGAAGGCCTGCTTAACAGTAGTACAGTAAAACAGAGTACAGGGCCTGGCGGAAGCCAAAACAGTAAATAACAATGTCCAATGAGCTGTGACAGTCTATATGCAAAAAAACTTTTCAAACATATATATATACAGTCAGTACCAAAACCGTATACACAATATTAACAACCACTCAGTACAGGGACTTAATCCCTGCTCAACAGTACAGTAAACATTCAGTCTATACAATCCATTCGGTTATTACAAAACAGTAAGACAGTACAGAACGGGAAATCCTAAAACATCCCTAAGCCTTAGCATGATAGGCTCGGAACCTCGCAGTGAGGCACGGTAGTTGGCTTGACAAAACTGGAGTAACCCTGACGCTCCTAGCCGCAGTCTGGTGCCTGTACACCTAAATATATATATGAGCAGTGAGCTAAAGCCCAATGAATAACATAATGCAAAAGATATCAGTTGAACATATCTTTACACAATTGTTACTCACAGAGTTTGGGCTACAGTATGCTAGAGCGTGCCTCCCCAGTCGCCAACCCTACACAGTTAACAGATTGAACACACACTAAGCTACACAGTTGGGAAAGATAAGAACTTAACCCCTAATTTGCCTCGGTGTGTTCTACACCTATATCCTCAGTAAGATGCCTTAAACTAGGCCTAAGAATGCCTAGGATGGGATGAGGATGCAAAGATGTGCTCAAAAAATAGTTTCAGGATTTCAGAAAAACAGAGTCCCGCTCGAGCTCAGGTTTCCCCGCTCGAGCGGACATGCAACAAAGGTACCCGCTCGAGCGTACCGTAAAAGTACTGGATTGGTGAAATCTCCGCTCGACGGACGCTCAACGCCCGCTCGAGCTTGAGACACATGCCTCCGCTCGAGCGCCCAATCCTCCGTTCGAGCGGACTGTAAAACAGTGCAAGATGCTGGATGCTCGGATTCCCCGCTCGAGCGCCACTTTCCCAGCTCGAGCGGGAGTGCAAAATCTGGAAATTCCAGATTGCACCTCCAAGCTCAAACTCAAGTTCAAATGTATCAAAACCGATCCTCTTGGGCCCATTTTCTGGAAAACTCTTATAAACTCATAGAATGACATGTTTCAAAACTCAACTTGAGAAATCAAAGCCTAAGGGTGTTTAATTCAAACTCAATTTGAAACCAATTTTTCAAGAACAATCCTCAAACATGACATGCATGATCTTCAAACAACTTTCAAGCTTCAAAACATGCTCTAATGAGCCAATTGATTCACAAACAAGATAAAAAAATGGCCTATACTCAAAACATGGACATGCATGTGACAATTTGCCATGAACTCAACTCAAAATCCAACAATACTAACATGCATGCATGAATTAAGCTATAATTCAACATTTTTGACCCAAATCATGACTTAGTTCTACAATGAAGCATGAATCATGCAAGAACTAGCTTAATGACAACAATAAGAAGATGAGTTTCCTACCTTAGTCTTGTATTCAAGGTTTAGGAGCTCAATTATGAAATCAATCTTCAATTCTTCAAGCAATTCTACAAGTGAACTCAACTCTCTCACTCTCTCTCTCTCTCTAAGGTCGGCTAGAACAAGAGATATGGACTGATGAAATGTTTTGATCAAGTGTAATGAAGCTCACAATGAATCAAGTAGTGGACCACTCACAATGGCAAGTTGGTAAATAAGTCAAACTATGCAATTGATCAATATTTAATCTAATTTAGTCATACCAATTCACATTTTAGATAAATACACCATAAAATCACATAAATTCTACTGATCATGAAACACTAATCAATTTCGGATTCGGCCGCCGATAAGGCCGTCAATTAGCAGTTTAACACTAAAATACGAACAGATCAAATAAACAATCAAACAGATAGATTATGCATTTAAACAGATACAGTCAGTCTATTAATTCCAGATTCCAGCCAGTCAGTTCAGTATTTTAATCAGTTCAATTATCAGTCATAATCAGTTTAGTTGAACGGTAATCAGCGTTTATCGGTAAGCAGTGGTGAGGGTTATTACAATAGCCCTTTGATATGTAGCCCCAGCATTCTTCAGACCAAATGGCATGTTAATCTATTCGAAGGTACCAATGTTCCCAGGACATCAGAATGCTGTTTTATGGATATCCTCTTTTGCAAAACAGATTTGGTTATAACCAGAGTGCCTATCCATCATTGATAAAATTTGATGCCTTGCTGAACTGTCCACCAATAAATCTACTATGGGCACAAGGTATTCATCTTTTGGAGTTACTAAATTCAGATTTCTGAAATCGATGCATACCCTCATTTTATCATTCTTATTAACTACATGCACAATATTGGATAACCATTCAACATACCTGGCTTTCCTAATAAAGCCTGCCTTGAGGAGCCTAAGAATTTCCTCATTGACCTTCTGGATCACCTCAGGACTCATTCTTCTTGGTTTTTGCTTGTATGGCTTGAAATTAGGCCTCATAGGGAGCCTATGTTCTACTAATGACCTATCCAATCCTGGTAGTTCATTATAAGACCATGCAAAACAATCTTTATATCTTTTCAAGACCACCAACAACTGGTCCCTATCAAGAGCATTTAACCAAGCACTTATATAGGTGGGCTGCTGCATAGAACCTTCCCCCAAGTTCACTTCTTCCAAAGGGTCTTGCATCTGAGGACTCACGGATTCTTCTTTTTTGATATCTTTTTTCTTCGAAGTAATCTCCTTGCTCTGTCCTGCTCCTAGTTTCTTTGATTCAACATCTTTGCCCTTCTCTTCATAGACAAAGTCTGTCCACAAGGCTTTTTTTTTTTTGTATCTCCTGGACTTTTGTTTCGATGTCTAATGCACAGTATTTTCCCAAGGCCAAAACCATAACCTGTTGCTGCTCCTGCTTACAGCCAATTGCCATGGCTTCTTCCTCTTGCTCTTGCATCTTCTGGACTATTGATTTTATGTCCAATACTGAGAACTTAATTAAAGCCAAAGACCTGGCCTCCTGGGTTCCATCTTTTTGCCT